CACACACACACACACACACACACACACACACACACACACACACACACACACACACACAACTTGTTGACGTACTGGGGAGCATTTTCGAGTTATCATAGTGTTGTTTCTTTGTTTTGTCCCCACAATCGCTCCGCCCTTGCTGCTGCTGCTGTTGCTCTCTCTCTCTCTCTCTCTCTCTCTCTCTCTCTCTCTCTCTCTCTCTCTCTCTCTCTCTCTGTTAGAAAGGAGTTGCGTAGCTTGAGTTGTGATGCAGTCAGAGGACCCTCACACGGGGACTTACCTTGATGTATCTGACTGCTTTTACCTCAATGCACCTGACTGCAATTACGTCCACAGATAAAGAAAAAGTCCAAATGTATCGCCTCAAAAGAATAAAACCATGTCAGGGATATGTTTTTTTTTCTTTTTTTTCCATTGGTTTTTGGATTGAATTTGACATAAATTTATTGTCGAGGGGGATCACTGCCCAAGACATACAAGAAAAATAGTATCAGACTGAAACTTGCCGAGACAGCCGGGTTATCATGTCCCACCTCGGACATCGAGCCCCATCTTTGTATATTACTACTGGTAGTCCCACACCCTAGAAGTCAATGCACCAGACCCCAAAACTATCTCATATCTAAGCTACTTCTCCAACCATACGAATCAAAGCCAGTTTCAAGTTCAAATTTCCAAAAGCCCAAAAGACTCCCAAGAACATATGCGCAGTCGATGATCATTGATTATAGGGGCCTCAATGCCATCACTGTGAAGAATAGAGAGCCCCTACCACGCATCGATGATCTGTTAGATAGAGTGCAAGGGTGTCGGTACTTCAGTAAGATAGATCTGAAGTCCGGGTACCGTCAGATTGCAATCCGGCTCGAGGATCAGAATAAAACCGCTTTTCAAACCAGGTACGGTCTGTACGAGTTTGTGGTGATGCCTTTCGGTCTTTGCAATGCTCCTGGCACCTTTCACCACGCTATGAATCGGATATTCCATTACTACTTGGATAAGTTTGTCATCGTGTACCTCGATGAGACTGTCGAGGAGCACGTTGCGCACTTGGACAAAGTCCTCAGTCTCCTGTGACAGCACAAGTTCAAGATCAACGGTGAGAAGTGCGAGTTTGGCCGCACCCGTGTCTTGTACTTAGGTCATGAGATCTCCGCGGAAGGGTTGGAAGCCCGATGACGCGAAGGTGGCTAGCATACGAGATTGGCCACGTCCTCAGCTTGTGACTGAGATGAGATCTTTCTTAGGAATGACAGGCTACTATAGGACTTTCGTTAAGAACTATAGCATAGTGGCCACTCCTTTGACTGATCTGACCCGCCTTGACACCCCATGGGAGTGGACAGATGAGTGCGAGGCTGCTTTCAAACATCTGAAGCATGCGTTGACGCACTACGAAATCTTCAAACTTCCTGATCCTGATAAACCGTTTATAGTCACCACGGATGCCAGCCAATATGGCATTGGCGCCGTGCTCGCGCAGCAGGAGGGGCCAAAGTTGAGGCCTGTAGAGTACATGTCCAAGAAAATGTCGTCTCAGAAGTTGGCTAAGTCCACCTATGAGAAGAAACTCTATGCCGTTTACAAGGCTCTGACCCATTGGAGACACTATCTCCTTGGGAGGTTCTTCATCCTCAGGACTGATCATCAGACCCTGAGATGGATGAGAACTCAGCCGGTACTCTCTGATGCTCTCAAGCGTTGGATCGAAGTCATTGAGCAGTATGACTTTGACCCTCAGTACCTTAAGGGGGAGTACAACAAGGTTGCTGATGCCTTACCGCGTAGACCTGATTTCTCAGGTGCGCTGATTACTGAGTTTGATTTGACGAACAATATTACTCAGTCCTTGGTGGAAGCCTATCGTGAGGACCAGTTCATGTCTAAGATCATACGCAGACTTGAGGCGAAGGACAAAAAGACTTCTGTTGAGTTCGAGTTGGTCAACGGCTTGCTGTTCCTTGAGAAGGCAGGGAATAAACGATTGTGCATTCCTAATAGCGCGTTTTTGCATATTTTATTTTTAGGTGAGTGTCATAATGTCACCGGCCATTTTGGGTATAAGAAGACCGCAGCCAATCTGCTGCAGCGGTTCTGGTGGCCCACGATGATACGAGATGCACAGTTGTACGTGGAGACTTGTCAGGTCTGTCAAAGGGACAAGCACCGTACTCAGGCTCCTCTTGGGCTATTGAAGCCCCTTCCGATTCCAGAACGGCCGGTTGAGAGTCTGTCCATGGACTTCATGGATACACTGATCACCAGCAAGAGTGGGATGCGACACATCTTCGTCATCGTGGATAGATTTAGTAAGTATGCTAGATTAGTAGCAATGCCGGAAACAGCAAGAACGGAGTATGTGATCCGAATGTTCAAAGAGAACTGGGTTAGAAAAAGAGAACTGGGTTAGAGACTTTGGTTTACCGAAGTCTATTATTAGTGACAGGGATGTCCGATTTACCAGCAAACTGCGGAAGGCCACTGCTGCAGAGCACGAAACCCAGTTGCAAATGACTTTTGCGAACCACCTAGAGGCCAACGGCCAGGCCGAGCAACTGAACTGCGCTGTACAACATCTGTTGAGGCATTATATCAAGCCCAACCAGGTGGACTGGGATGAGAAGCTTGCTCTCATCGCCAGTTTGTACAACAATGCGGTACACAGTGCCAACGGGGTGAGCACGAACAGTTAGCTCTTGACTTTCAAGCCTAGACTACCCTTAGATTTTCTCCTTCCTGAGAATCAGTCAACTGCTGCACCAGGTACTCTGGAATTTGCTTACCGTTACAAACAGAAGATGCAGCACGTTGTAGAACAGATGCAAAAGGCACAGGCAGCTATGATAGAATCTGCGAACAAACACCGTCGTGAGTCTTCATTTCATGTTGGGGATAGAGTCTGGGTTAAGTCCTCAGAACTGGGACAGGAGCACAGGATCTCCCGCAAGCTCATGCCACAGTACTTTGGACCATGGGAAGTCTTAGATATTGTTGGGACTGATCCGGACGGACCTTCTTACGTAATCCGGATCCCTGGTCATCTCCGCACTTACCCTGTCTTTCACGCCTCCAAGCTTGCACCTTTCAAGGAAACAGATCAGTTTCCATCTCGTCGTTCAATGCTGCCCCCAACCATGGGCGGAGAGGTCATCGACGATATTGTTGATCACCGGGAGCTGCAAGTTTCAAGAACAACAGGCAGGGGACGTCCTCCGAAACCGAAGCTGCAGTACCGCGTTCGGTTCCGACATCATACTGATCCGAAGGAGGACCGCTGGTTTACCAGGGACGAACTCATGTAGACCGCTCCGCAAGTGGTAGCCCACTACGAGAAATCTCTGCAGAAAGGAAAGCGCCCGATGGTCGAAGACTGAGCTTCTCAGAGGACTGTTGAAGCTAAGGAGGAGGGAATGCGAGGCCACTGCCTCTATGAGCCCCATTCTGCCCCTTTTTGGAAGCCTGTCGGCCGCCCTAAGTGAAGGCAGGCTCGACGAGGCCCCTCAGGGCCTTATTTCGGCCTCTGCGCAACTACGAAAATTCAGGCAGTTGCGCAGCGCCAGTTGGTTGAGAGAACCCAGGCCCTGGGCCGCCTGTGTGAATGAATGGAAAGCAGCCCCTGGGCTGGATACGGGTACTGGGTCAAACACATGCCAAAGGCAGTTAGGCGCGTGCAACCGCATCAGGCCCCAGGCCTGTTCTCGATCGTGCTGGGCCTCAGGCTACCGGGGCCTACTGGAAGCTTCCTGGGACTGGACGCAGGCAGGCCACTGCAATATAGCAAAGTGCCTGCCTCCTCATTCGGCATTCGGGTGCTGGCTGCATGCTGCGCAAGCGCTGCTGCTGCGCTATTTGCTGGCTGGCGCCTACGCTCTCACGGGCGAGCAGGGACGGAGCATGCAGCCATAGCCGAGCTGCGCTGCTGTAAGCTGGGTGAGGCGCAGGGTGGTCCTTGGGTGCTAGTGGCATCTGTGTGTTGGGGAACGAGGTTGTGAGTAAGGCGAAAGACATACCTGGTGCTGGAAGCGTGCGACATTGGTCGCTGTATGCATGTACTTCAGGAAAACTGTTGATGTCATCTTTCGGCATTGTAGTATAGGCTAGATAGGATCTGCCACATGTAGTCTGGGCGCCGAGCGCCAGATAGGATATCAACTCTGGTTCTTCGTTGATGATGATGGGACTATTTCAGCATTGTCAATTATGAACTCTTGGTGTGTTCTTATTTGGTGAATCTCGTGATGCAATTCTGCTGTTGGTTCGAGGTCACGACTAGCTGGACTCATATGTATGATGCTGTTTGATTGCTGAAGTTCGCTATTGCTCATCTTCCTTGCACGCGGAAGAACATGCTCAATTTTGCACATTCCGGGAGCGGTGCGGCAAATGCTTTAGGAATGCGCATGTCAACATGAACAAGTCTAAGAGTACCTATCCTGATGCTTGGAAAATCAAGCAACTCCTTTAGGAAAATCAGAGTAGACCTCAAAGGTACGTGTGTTCTTCGTTTTTTTTTTCTTGCTTTCTCGTGGCTCTCATTTTCGTCCTTTGTTCTTCGTTTTATGCCCCCATTGTGCGTGATTAGTTCTGTGCCACTTTCGCTGTCTTCTGCCCTGCCGCATGTTTGTATAGCCCCCCTCCCGTGCTTTCGTTTCTCTTTGCCCTGTCACATGCTTCTTAACCCTGTGGCATTTCTGTTGTTTTTTGCCCCACTGCTTGCTTTGCTGCTTTGCGAGGGGGTTTCGTTGTTTTCTGCCCTGTCGCATGCTTTGTCGCCTTGCGGGGTTTCCATTGTTTTCTGCCCCCCGCCCAATGCTTTGCCGCCTTGGAGGATTAGTGGTCGTTTTCTGGCCCATAGCATGCTGTGGGCCTGCACCCAGCTGTATTTCGATCGACCTGTCAGAGCTGTTCGAACACGAATACACACTTGGCCCTTGTGGATGAAGAGTGCACGTGTGATGATTAGTAAACAGGTCATGAACTTGCAACTCGCACTGTGATAGAATCAGCTGGGATCACATGTACACAGGGGAAGGGCTTCCCCGCCCTTCCCCCCCCCCAAAAAAAAAGAAGAAAAAAGGGGCTTTCGATTCATCAAGTACGTGGGGGCTCTCTCTCTTGGGCGAAAATTCTCCATGGTTCTCCTTTACTCGGGAAACGCGCTGGGGGGGGAGTCCTGCAGCCCCGCCCATATAGCATCACCCACCTACGCGCATTGTACCATCTAGTTCACACACCTACCCCACATTGTTCCCTGCCGCCAGACAGCACATCCCGCATGGTACTGCCAGCGCTGGTGCGGTGCGCTCTTTTTTTTTTTCCTGCTTTCTGACAAGAGTGCAGAGAGTGGGGTGCCGACGTACCACTACACGTGCATGCGTGCGTGTCTGTGTGGGCCTGCTTGGAGAGCGAGAGAGCGCACGCGTGTGCGCACGAGAGAGAGAGAGAGAGAGAGAGAGAGAGAGAGAGAGAGAGAGAGAGAGAGAGAGAGAGAGAGAGAGAGAGAGAG